CTGCTGGCTAACACTGGGCCCTGCCTCCACCACTCCCTTGGGCAGCAGACAAGGGTCCCTCACATTTGCATGAGGGGCACCCCCTTTGGGGACATCCCCCTCTAGGCCATGTCTCCTGGTCCAGGAACACTCTCAGGAGGATCGGAAGTGCCCGCTCTATGCTGCCCCAGAGATCCACTCTGGAGAGAGAGGGCTGGTAGGTCAGCCCCCACCCTTGGCCCTCAGCCCAGCCTCCAGGTCTGTGGTGGAGGTGAGATTGCCATATGCTGTGATGCTGTGACTTGAGTCCTGGGCACCTTCTGCAATGATGCCTCTTTCTTTTCTCAGATGTTGCCCAAAGTTTTGCAAAAAGCTTCATTCGTTTTCAGGTATCCCCTGCCCACTAAAAAATCAGCTGCAACTAATCAGCCAGGGGGACATCAGGAGAGAAGAGGAAGTTTGGGTTGGGAGGGGCCCAAGGTCTGCATCAGAGCACGCTGTGGCTCAGCTCTGTGCTCTCTTGGAGTCCCTTTTCAAGACCACCAAGACTTCCTTCATTAAAGTGCTCCTGAGGCACCCCCTGCTCCTGCCCCCACTGCTATTTGCTGTACATAGAGGCTAAGTGGGGTGGGGTGGGCGGGTGTGCACATGTGTGTGTGTGTGTGTGTGTGTGTGTGTGAAGAATGTACATAGGTAAAGGGGAGCGTGATCCAGTGGTTCCAGAAAAGGGGCAGAACTCTAGTGTTCTCTTCCTAGCTTGACCACTGGCTCGCTGTGTGGCCTTGGGCAAGTCACTTAACCTCTCTGTGCCTCAGTTTCCTCATCTGTAAAATGGGGGTAATAATACTGACCTACCTCACAGGGGTGTTGTGAGGCTTTAACTAAATGTTTTGTAAAGTGTTTTGAGATACAGAGGCAAAGGCGCTAGAGAAGGGCAAAGTATCATTTGGACTTATGGAAGATGAAATGGTACCATAAATGCTGCTATTCTGAGAGCCATTTTTAACTGCACTGCTCCAACCACCCCCGCTTCTCATCATCAGGACAGCAGGTTGAGAAAATGTCTTTCCTTTCACTTGCTTCTGGGGTTTGTGATTATTCTAGACCCTTAATTTTTCCCCCTTGCTGTATTTCCTTCCCTCCCCCCTCAACTTGTTCCCTGTTCTGTTTATGCAGAAATGGCAGAAATGCTTGAGAAATGAGAATGTATACGTGGATTGGAAGTTTATAGTCTGATATTTCAATTTTACTTTGTACTGTACATCTTTTTACTTTAGAATTTGCAATAAAGGGTTACGTCAATCTTGTTTTCAACTCTCCTCTTGGATTGGCCTGTCATTCTGTCATGGCGCTTACCCCAAGCCCCTGGGCCCAGGGCAGGGCAGGGCAGGGCAGGGCAGTATGTTGTGCAGGCTCGCCTGGTATCCTGGGCGGGGCTGGCTGGACCCCAGACACTCAAGTGGGCGGAAGAGGAACTGCTCTAGATGACGCGTCAAGAGGTCTTGCCTGAATGGGGCGGCCACCATGAAGGCAGGAGCCCCAGCAAGTGGGTCCCCTCTTCTGCGCTGCCCTACACACTGCGAAGGGCTTCGGAGCAAACCCAGAAAGCTGCACGTCTCATTCTGATCCCCGCCATCCGTCTCAAGCTCCCTGCCTATGCAAGCACCATCCCTTTGCAGCTCAAAACTTTCAGGTCAAACGGCTCTAGGTTCAAAAGCCTGCCTATGTCACCAAAGAGCTGTGAGCAGTTCCCTGATGTGTAGTGGAGACAATACCTTCCTTCTTGGGTTTTTCAGAGTAGTATAGGAAATAATGTACCGCTTAGCACGGCCAGACACACCGTTCGTGCTCAGTACGCGGTGACCCCTAACTGCACACACAGTAAGAAGGAACCAAAGCTGACACGAAGCAGCCCCACCCTGGGAGGCAGCACAGCTCACTGGCTAGGCCCGGCACGTTCACAAAGAAAGACAACAGCTCCCTCCGCTGAGTGTCTTATAACTTTTATAATCCGTCCGGGGCAGCGCTCCAGCGCACCGCGTTCCCACTTCACCGCGCAGGGCAGCGCGCGCCGGAAGCCGCCCGGCT